TGTATTTCCGCGCATATTTCCAAGCCAAACATCAAAGCCAGCATCAGCAAAGATGAAACCTTGACGCAAAGATAGCTGACTTCACACCACTACGTCATGCTTACAAAACTTACCAGCACTCTCATCAGGCAAGTTGGTAATCCAATTGCTGCTACTGCACTCAAGTCCATGTTGCATGAATACCACTGGTCGTGGGGTTGTAGGCTTTGCATCTAAGACAGATGGAAATCACTTTTTAAAGATATAAGCACAAAATGTACAACGCGCTTTACCATTCTTGCCGTATGGAATTCTGTGCATTTCCAGAATGTACCCATCCTCAGTGGTTACGGTGTAAATCTCAGCCGGGTAACCCCAATGTTGAATGATTTGTGGCTGAACATATTGTTTCAAATTAGAATCAATCCCACAATATCTTTATTTAGTGAAATAAAACAAATTTGACTTTTTAACAAGGTACAAATAATGTTATGTCACATATGCTCGTTTTGATTAATGTTAGGAATGTAAAAACCCCCAACTCCACTATCTACAGCAATGGATTACCTTCAAAGAAGAACAACGAGTGATATGAACAAACATAATTTAGGCCTGAACTTGGAACTATCAAAAAAAAAGTGAAGACAAGAGACGGAACAGCTGGGGCAGTCTGTCTTAAATCGCATTAATGACATAAATGAGTGATTCTACGCAATTTATAACAAGAAAAATTATACAGTTTTCAAGAACTGTCAGACTAAGTACTTATTATGCTTAAAAATTCACACAGTTTAGATAAAAATTTCATACAATGAAAGATTTGATCGAGACTAATGCCTAAGGATTTCGTATTGTATAATCAGAGCATTTGAATGTTAGGAAAAGAAGAGAAAAGTTATTGGGAAGGATTTATTCATTTAAGCCAAATTTGTGGCTTATCCTTATGGAAAACCCAGAAGATAAGATTAACAAGAAGCAGCATTGCCAATATCTTCAAGAATGTTGTGAGCGCTTCAACTATGGTAGAACAAGGGTTAAGAAGCTAAGTATATATTATATAGTATTATATATTGTTGGTATAGCAGTAGCATAAATTTCATACCTACTGTCAAACACTATGGAAAACTGAATCCAGTTATTCGGAAAGTTCCTTCTTGTTTTAGTCTTTCAAAGTGGAAAATTTTTTTTTGAAACCAATTTCGAGTTAGATTTGGAAAATACGATTTATTAAGGATGCAACTTTTAGCGATTAACTTACGGTAGTCATCTCCACCTCTGGATCCTCATTTTTTTTCGAGAGAACAGTGATTGCAGTTAGGACTATCGGGAGCGCGTACCGGAACATTTCGGAACCTCGCACAGGTCGTGCCGTTATCTTCTTGCATAAGTACTTTTTTTCGAGTAATGCTTTGCGAAGCGCATAAAAAAGATATGGAGCAGCGTGACCATTGTTCTTTTATCAGCTATGGTATTAGGGGAAGGAATGGCCATTATCAAGTTTATCAGAGTCAGCATTTTTCTGGTGCGAAAGCGCTTAGCCTCTAATATTTGTTCAAACTTTACGTATTGCATTTTGAAATAAGGGGATAAAAGTCTACCTGAGAGGAACCTCATGCCAAACACGTCCTCATTTCCTCCGTTTGTGAGTTTGTGAG